ATACAATATAATTAATTGCTTTAAAATAATGTGATCTAATCTAATAAGAAGAAAATAGATTAAAGTGATTTAAAAATTATTATAATTTCATAATTCATTCTAATCTAATAAGAAGAAAATAGATTAAAGTGATTTAAAAATTATTATAATTTCATAATTCATAATTTTTAAATAATCTAATCTAATAAGAAGAAAATAACAAAGGCACATAACTGTTGAAGGAGATGAAAATGTTATGAAAATTGTTGCAATTTCTGATTACAAAAAGATCAAACATACGATATAATTAATTGCTTTAAAATAATCTAGTCTAATCTAATAAGAAGAAAATAAATAAAAATGTTGTGAAAATTATTGTTATTTCTTAATATGAAAAAAGATTAAATACATAATATAATTAATTATTTTAAAATAATCCAATCAATTTAATAAGAAGAAAATAACAAAGGCACATATCTATGGAATGAGATGAAAGTGCTATGAAAATTATTGTAATTTGTTGGCTTATATATATTGGCATGTGCTGTTGCATGTGAGAGAATAACAATTGTAAATAGAGTTCTATTTAAATAATAATAGTATAATTAAACTTTGCAACTCATTATGCACTACCGTGAACTACTTGAAGTTTAATCGGTGAGAGATCGCCATGTTGTGTCCTCAGATCGCAACCATTTATTTTAATTTTTCTTTTTTATAATTTTGAAAATGACTCTTGTCTCTTTAATTTGTTTGGTGGATTTTGCAAATATCTCATCTATATTATATACATTTATAGATCTGCGCTGTTTCTAGGTTCGGCCTTTGGGGCATACATTTTTTGTCTCGTTGATTTGTTTGGTTTTTGCATATACGCCCTTCATCTTGTATACATTTGTAAAGTTAGCATTTAATAATTTCATTCATGTTTACATTTCAATTTAAACTATATCCCTATCTTTATATTATGTATATCCAATAAGAATTCATCAATTTATCAACTTACTCTTACTTAATGGATTAGTATTTGAATTATTTCAAGGGTATTTTTGTCTACCGAAAAAGAGTATGATATGATATGATAGATTTGGCTCTTTAGCTACCATATATAGGTTGCAAGATATTGGTACTTGCGACTCAAAACAACTACATCTTTAATATAATTTAATGAGTGATCTCATGATTATGTTCACAAAATTTCTCTGTGCATTCCAATGACATTTGTGAACCACTTTTTTAATTTGATATATTTTTCAATCTTTCTAAAGTAAAATGTCTGCATGTGAAATAAACTTTAACTTGAAACATAACATATTCTACACTTTTGCATTTCATCATCTATAATTTTTATATAGTACTATAGAGTAAATTGTTCCTTTTGTATTTGAATAATAATCATTTCTTTTGGTAAGTTCATCAATTACCAAAAAGTCATTTACTTTTTGTTAGATCATTCTCTTTAATACATAATTTCATGCACAATATTATTTAATTGACATTTGACTTCTCATGATCATTTAATCGGATAATATAGAAGTGAAATTGCTTTTCATAGTGCAAATTTGTGTAAATTAAATTTGTTTTTTAACGTGTTAATTATTAATTAGCTTTCAATAAGGATATAGTTGATATTTTAGGAAAAAACTAAGAAGATTTGCATGCTTAACCCTTCCTCATTTGCCACACACAAAAAAACCTTTCATCTTAATTATCTAATCTAAACAAAATTAAAGTATTTTTAATCCCTCATGATGGATTAACTAAGGGAGCGTTTGGCAATCAAGGCGTTTTTGCCGTTTTCGTTTTTTTTCAAAAAAAAAAAAATAATGAAATGTGTTTAGCAACCGGGGCGATTTTTTGACTTGACACTTTACAAAATCCAAAAAATAAACGCTTTTCTTAAAATACCAAAAATGTGTTTTGAGATTTCGTTTTTTCATCTAAGCCGCCGCCCGTCCGTCGCCCGACCGCGTACGCACGCGAGCCGCCGCTGCTTCGTCGGCCGCCCGCGCCACCACCTGCGCTGTCACCGCCTGCTGCCGCCCTCAACCGCCGCCGCCCGCTAACCGTCGCCGCACAGTCGCGCCCAGCCGCTGCCCCGTCGGTGCGTCCGCCGCTAGGGCCTCGTCGGTCGCGCTCGCTCCGCCGACTCCGCTGCCGTGCTCGCATTTTTTCATACTCAAGCCCACTGCCGTCAGCCGGCCGCCGCTACCGCCGCGCCGCCGCGCGCGCCTACCGCCGCGCCGCCCGCCGACCTACCGGCCACTGCCGCGTCCGCACCCCGCCGCCGCCTGCCGGCTGCCCGTCGCCCCGCGCGTCGCCGCCCGTCGCTGCTGCGTCGGTCGGGCCTGCCGCCCGCCGCCACCAGACCCGCCGCTGCCGCCCTGCCGGCGCCTGCCGCACCGCCGCACGCCCGCGCACCACTGGCTAGCCTGCCGGCCGCTGGCGTCGCGAGCCCGCCGCTGCCGGTCGGTCCGTCCGCCGCCCGTGACCCCCCGCTGCCCGTGGTCGTCCGCTCGCCCGCGCCGCCGCCGCCGTCGCCGTAGCTGCGGCCGCCGCCGCCGTCGCGTCCAGTGCGCTGCCCGTCGCCATCCGTCGCGGCACCACGACGACAGTACCTTCTAAGTTTACTTGTGAAGCGAAAATCGGTGTTGCATATAGGGGCATGATTGGCCGCTGTCCGTCGGTCGTTCGGCCGCCGCGCCGTCCGTCGTCGCCGAGCCGATCGACCGCACCGCAGCCAGACTGCCGGTCTGACCGCCCGCAGCCGCGCTCCGGTGGTCGTTCGCCGGGATTAAACGCCGCCTGTCGACCGGCAGGTCATCGGTCGCCGGGCGCGCAACAGGCATCCGCCGCCTGCGCGCCCGCCTGCCGCCGCCTGACCGGCCGCCTGGCGGCACTGCCGCTGCGCCGCCGTCGTTACGTCCGGTCGTGCCCGTTTGGCGCAGCCGCCCGGACCAGCGCCGCCGCCCCATGCCGTTGGCGCCGGTCGTCGTCAGTCGTTGCCCTCCGGCGGTGGCGCCTGCGCGCCGCCGCCGCCTGCCGGCGTCGCCGCCGGTCGTCGGCGAGTCGTCCCAGCGGCGGCTGCGCCCTTCCGCCGCCGTCGGCGCGGTCGCCGTATATAAATACATAACTATAAAATGGTGTTTTGAAAACACGTTTTGAAAAATAAACACCATGGTATGGTATTTTTAAAAAAACACTATAAAACGAAACACTTTGGTTACCAACACACTCAAGTTAACATTCTCACTTGACACTCTCTCTTAACCCGTTGCCAAACAAAACCAATTGTGCCGGGTTGGATAGGCTTTTTTTAAGAGGGGACGGAGGAGTTGGGAGGTTACAATGCTAACCATCCTCAAATTGTGTTTGTTTATATTTTTTAGCAAGTGAAGGAAATGATTGGGAGGGTTGAAAAGTAATAATTTTTCTCACTTTCTTAACCCTCCTTAAATGGACGGATTAAGACAAGAAGTGTTGGATTTTAAGTGAATTGCTCTATTCTCTTTTTATTTTCTACTCTAAACAAATACAAATTAGTCTCATAACCCCCCTCTCTCCATTCTTTACTTGTCTATTCAGATGTAATTGGTTACATCACGCTCATTTTCTCTCCTTTCATTCTTCTTAAGTTTAGTTCAATTATCCCCCTCTCGTGAGTAAACTTCCTATCAGAACCAAGGGGACAGTTAAGTTGCCAAATTACCTCCATGAATTCACATTTAATGGCTTAGAACCTCACGCATGGTTCTGAGAGGATGTGCACACCCCGCGTGTACCCTATTCTCAATCCAAACCGAAGGGTAATTACTTTTTGATAAGCTAATTATATAAATGATTTCTGCGGGTAAAGCTCTCATCTTGTAAGGGTGAGTTCAAGAGGGAACATGATACTTAGAAAGTGCAGGAGGAGCATCAGATCAGGCTTTTTGGTCGGACCCATGGAGGGATGATGCATCCGAGATACGCCCTCACGAATACTATACAATATAAACATGTATGTAAATATAACAATCAAATTACCGAGCAATTATATAGCTTAATGTTCAAGTGATGACTCACTAATAAGAAAGCTATTCCATCCGACTTCGTCCGAACCAAAAGTCCTTTCCATTTTGACCGAATTCCGAACGACGAAGTCCTTCCCATTTTGAGCAATATGAATATCCGACAAAGAACGAATTAGAAAATTCGGTTCGGTTTTTTTTCGGACGGTTCAGTGGTTCAAACCGGATCCAAACCGGTTTAATTCGGTTCGGGCGGTTTAGAGTCTTCTTCTCATCCATTTAATCCGGTTCGGTTAACCGGCCCGCTTTTTCGGGCGGTTTTTTCGGTTGAACCGGTTTTTTTCGGTTTTTGCCCACCCCTACTCACGATCGCTCCGAGAGCCGTTATTCTACCGCGCGAAATGATATAATATCCCTCCTCGATATGAGTTTACTTCTGCACTTGTTTATTAACATGGAAGAATTCTAGTGGTCAAAACTGAGTCCTCATAGTACTATCGTGGTCCGTGGAGTAATGTACCGGTGGCCTCCGAGAGTTCGGCAAGCACGTGCCCGCTCAGCGTCCGAAGCCAAACACACCAAACCCTCGCTTCCCGTCCTTTCTCTCTCATCGAAGGGACCTCAAAACGTAACAAGGTTTTGGTTTGATAAACACACCCTTAATTATTAAGGGATGGTTTTCCTAGGGTGAATATCACTCATTAAGCACCCGACACCTTTGGAAAGTTTTCTACAAAACCCCCAAAACCTTTGCTTATTTCAGAAATACCCCTAAACTATATGGTGTCACATCTAAATCCTCTCGAATTTTAAGTTTCCACAACATGTCCCATGAGAACTTTACATTTTAACGCCTACATTATCAGAATGCCCCTTCAAACTATAACCCTAAAAAATGAAGGGGGAAAAACAAAATCTTTTATAAACTAAAATGTATTTTTATATTTGGAGCAGCAGAATGATTGCAGCGGGCTAAAGACAACAACTTTGGAGATTTAGGACGATAATTGAATGGTAATTGAAGAAGGTCTGATTTAGCTTGTTAGGCAAGGATGAGAGAAAGTTTAGACAAAAACTAGAGAGCAAGAAAGGAGAAAAGTAGATTCGGAATTAAGTAGAAGTTAAGATGTAAATGTAACATGTTTAGAAAAACGTGGTTTGTTTTCACCCTTTGACTAGTAAAAAAGAGGGGTAGCACATGGGGAAAATTTCTTAGGGGGTTGGAAGTAAATTTTCCACCCCACAATAAATAAATAAGAAAAGTATTAAGGGAGCCAATTTGCAAAAACAGCCAAAGGAGAGAGTGAATTTATCATCAAATGCGCATATAAAACACTAGAGAGAGATTGGTGCAGAGAGAGAAACCATATAGTGAGCTCCGTCAACCCGAGAAGAAAACCCCAAAACCCTACGCCAACTATAAATAGCCGCTTCCGCTCGTTCTTCCCCTTTCCCTTCGGTCTTCTTATCTCATATCTCCTCCCTATCCCCCAAAATCTAGGGTTAGGGTTTTCAAGGGGAGGGGGAGAGAGAGAATTCTTTGTCGCTGAAATGGCGTTCTCTGCTACCCTCAGATCTGCATCTCCTCTCGTCG